TTGTGTATACGTACCACATTTTTTTTATCCAGTCCAGCTTCAATGGGCAGCATGGTTGATTCCATGTTCTTGCTACTGGAATAGAGCTGCAACAAACATGCTTGTGCAGATATCTTTTTTGTAGAATGATTTGACTTCCTCTGGGTATATTACTAATAGGGGGATTGCTGGGTCATATGGAAGGTCAATTTCTAGTTCTTTCAGAAATCACCACACTGTCTTCCAAAGAGGCTGCACTAGTTTGCATTCCCACCAGCAGTGTAGATGCGTTCATTTTTCTCCACATCCTTGCCAGCATCTGTTGTTTGTTTTATTAATGATGGCCATTCTTACTGGGGTTAGGTGATATCTCAATGTGGTTTTGATTTGTATTTCTCTGATGATGAGTAAGGCTGAGCACTTTTTGTCTGTTGGCTGCCTGCATATCTTCTTTTGAGAAGTATCTTTTCATGTCTTTTGCCCACTTTTTAATGGGGCTGTTTGTTTTTTTCCTTTCAGCACATTTGAGTTCTTTGTTGATCCTAGATATTAGGCCTTTGTCAGATATACAGTTGGCAAATATTTTTTGTCATTCTGTGAGCTGTCGCCCTGCTCTCTTCATGGTTTCTTTTGCTTTGCAGAAGCTTGTCAGTTTGACGAGGTCCCACTTGTCTATCTTATTTCTTATGGTATGGGCACTTAGGACTTTGATCAGGAATTGGTTGCCAGTTCCAATTTCCATAAGGTTGTCTCCTGCATTTTCTAAGATTTTTATAGTTTGAAGTTTTACGTTTAGGTCTTTGATCCATTTAGAGTTAATTTTTGTGTAAGGTGATTTTTTTTCTTTTTTCTTTTTTTTGAGTTGGAGTTTCACTTGTCATCCAGGCTGGAGTGTAGTGGCATGCTCACAGTCACTACAGCCCTAACTTGTTGGCCTCAGGTGATCCTTCCATCTCAGCCTTCCAAGTAGCTGGAACTACAGGTGTGTGCTACCACACCTGGCTAATTTTTTGATTTATTGTAGAGATGAGGTCTTGCCAAGTTGCCAAGGCTGGTCTCAAACCCCTGGGCTCAGGCAGTCCTTTTGCCTTGGCCTCCCAAAGTGTTAGGATTACATGCTTGGGCCACCATGCCTGGCCATATTTTGTTCCTCTTTATAATATGTATTTCTTTACTGATAATTTCATTTTGTTCATATATCATTTTTCCCAGTTCCTTCAGTTCTCTGTCCATAGTTTCTTTTAGCTCTTTCAGCATATTTAAGACAGTTGACTTAAAGTTTCTGTCTGGTAAGTCCAATGTTTGTGCTTTCTCAGTAACACTGTCATTTTTTTCTTTGAATGGACCATATTTTCCTGCTTCTCTGTATGATTTGTGATTTCTTACTAAAAACTGCACATTTAAACAATATAATGTGGTACCCCACTCCTAGGGTTTGTTGTTCTTGATTGTTGAAGGTTAATTTAGTGAGTTTTCCAAACTATTTTTCACAGGACTATTTCTTGTCAGGTATGGTCACCAAAGTCTGGTTCTTTAGCTTATCTTCAGTAGTGTTTTTGTTGTTGTTGTTGTTTTGTTTTTTGAGTTGAGGTCTCTCACTCTGCCACCCAGGCTGGAGTATAGTGGCATAATCACAGCTCACCACAGCCTTGACCTCCTGGCCTGAGGTGATCCTTCAACCTCAGCCTCCCAAGTAGCTAGGACTATATGTGCACACCACCATACCCAGCTAATTTTTTTATTTTTGTAGAGATGAGGTCTTACTATGTTGCCTAGGTTGGTCTCAATTTCTGGGTTCAAGCAATCCTCCCACCTCAGTCTCCCAAAGTGCTGGGATTATAGGCGTGAGACACCAGCCTTGGCTCAGTAGTGTTTTGACAAAGATGTCCTTGAACATAAAGAACAAAAGAAAAACAAAACATTCTTTGTGAACTGACTTTGTACTGAGGCACTTCTTTAACACCATTAACAACGCTTGGCCGGGTCCAGTGGCTCTCAGCCTGTAATCTTGGTACTTTGGGAGGTTGCCTGAGTTCAGGCAACTTGGTGAGACCTCATCTCTATAATAAAATAAAAAATTAGCTGGGTGTGGTAGCGCACACCTGTAGTTCCAGATACTTGGAAGGCTGAGGCAGAAGGAATGCCAGAGCCCGGCAGGTCAATGCTGGGGTGACCGACAGAGTGAGACTCCAACTCAAAAAAAAACAAAAACAAAAAAACAACTCTTCCTGGGTTTACTGCTTTCTCTGAGCCTAAAGATCAGCCAGAGGAGAAAGCTAATGGTCGTTACAAGTCTTTTCAGAGCATATATCTATCTAGTCATGGACATGCATGTGGTTTCCTAAATTCCCCAATATACAAACATGCTTTTGAATGCCCTCATCTCCCCCAAGAAACTTTCTCTCCAGCTTTCCTTTTTAGGCTTTAGATGACTGACTACCTGTGTAATCATAATTGATATTCCAGGTGGCGGCAGGGTTTTAGTTTGCCTGACAATGGTTTTGAGCCTACCACCTTTGTACTCTGGATACGTTTTGAGTTAGGCAAAACAGAGATGAGTATCTTGCGTCAATCTTTCAGGTAGCCCCAGACCAGGTTAGAACACACAAAATAATGTCTGAATAAGATCTGCTCTGCCGGGCTCGGTGGCTCAGTCTGTAATCCCGCGCTTTGGGAGGCTGAGTTGAGTGGATTGCCTGAGCCCGCAGGTTCAAGATCTGCCTGGGCAACTTGGCGAGACCTCATCTCTACAATAAATCAAAAATCAGCCAGGCGTGGTACCGCATGCCTGTAATTCCAGCTACTCGGAAGGCTGAGGCAGAAAGATTGCTGGAGCCCAGCAGGTCGAGGCTGCAGTGGCTGGGAACGGCCACTGTACTCCAGTCTGGGTGACAGAGTGAGATTCCAACTCAAAAAAAAAAAAAAAAGATCTGCTCTGTTGGCTGGGCACAGTGGCTCACGCCTAAAATCTCAGAACTTTGGGAGGCTGAGGTGAGAGGTTTGCCCGAGTCCGCAGGTTCAAGAGCAGCCTGGGAAACTTGGTGAGACCTCATCTCTACCATAAATTTTTAAAAAATTAGCCGGGCATGGTGGCGCGTGCCTGTAGCTCCAGCTACTTGGAAGGCTGAGGTGGAAGGATTGCTTGAGCCTAGCTGGTCGAGGCTGCGGTGGCTGAGAGCGTGCCACTGCCCTCCATCCTGGGTTACAGAGTGAGACTCCAATTCAAAAAAAACCCCCAAAAAACAAAAAAAAACAAACCTTCCTGCAAACTAATGACAACAAAAAATAGCAACATGCTGGGTGCATTGGCCCATGCCTGTAATCCCAACATTTTGAAAGGCAGAGGTGAGAGGATCGCCTGCACAACTTGGTGAGACCTCATCTCTACAATAAATCAAATAAATAAATAAGATCTGCTCTGCTCCACTTGAAACCAGGTATGAGAGTCCCACACTGGGAACACAAACTGCTTGCTTTATGATTGCTACTGAGCGAGGGAGAGGTTGGGCCATGGGTAAGAAAAAACACCGCAAAGTATTTCCACTATTTTGAAGTTGTCTGTTTCTTGATTCAGAGTTTGCTTGGTTGCTGAAAGTCTTTGGCAATTATCCAGATTTTTGATAAAATTGGTTTTGATAGTTCTTTTTTTTTTTTTTTTAGTTGGGAGTCTCACTCTGTCGCTCAGACTGGAGTGCAGTGGCCGCTCCCGGCCACCGCAGCCTCAACCTGCTGGGCTCCGGCGATCCTTCCGCCTCAGCCTTCCAAGTAGCTGGAACTACAGGCGTGCGCTACCACGTCTGGCTAATTTTTTGATTTATTGTAGAGATGAGGTCTCACCAAATTGCCCAGGCGGGTTTTGAACCTGCGGGCTCAGGCAATCCACTCACCTCAGCCTTCCAAGGCGTAGGATTACAGGCTGAACCACCGAGCCCTCTTTTTTTGAGTTGGAATCTCACTCTGTTGCCCAGGCTGGAGCGCTGTGGCATGCTCATGGCCAGCGCAGCCTCGACCTGCTGGACTCAGGTGATCCTTCTATCTCAGCCTTCCAAGTAGTTAGAACTATAGGCATGTGCCACCACACCCAGCTAATTTTTTGATTAACTGTAGAGATGAGGTCTCATCAAGTTGCCCAGACTGGTCTCGAACCTGTGGGCTCAGGTAATGCTCTCACCTTGGCCTCTCAAAGTGCTGAGATTATAGGTTTTTTTATTTTGATGTTTATGTAGCTGCCTACTCTACCAATTTGCTTCACAGAGGCTTTTAAAACATCAGCCTATTTTTTTTTCCCCCAGAGCAAAGGTCCTGGCTTCTCTCAATATCATCTGTCCAACATACCCAGAAGGGGTCCCCTGGCTTTACACTTAACATCTTGCTTGCCTCCACTCAGGCTCATCAGCAGAACTGTCTCTCAGGGCCATTTTTTGGGACCTTCTCATGTTTCTCATCTTTTGCCTGCCTCCTCACTTCCCTGTTCAGAATGTGTGTGTCTCTTTTCTATTCAGTACACCTAAGACTGCCCCTGCACTATCTCTGCCCTTAGCCCAACCTTCCCTGGCCATTAAAGGTAGGACCAGGATATCCCCTTGTAAAATAGCCACTGTCTGATCTAAGCAAGGGAAGCAAAACTAAGTAGTCATGCTATCTCTCTAGCAGGGTCCTGAAGTCAGTGTGAATGCAGCCAGGAGAGAGCAGATTCAATGCCTGGACTAGGGTGGTATCCTGAGGGCAGGAGACCACCACTGGACTGGCCTTCGGGCGGGACAGAGGTTAGGACTGTAGGGCAAAGCCAAGGACCCTGGTGGCTATCATGTCACTCCTCTCTATGCCACATGGGGAAATCACAGTGTCTTCCTCAGGGCACCACAGGTTAGGCCAGGTCAATTTCCCTTCTGACTTCTAGCCTTGGCCCCTTGAGTCAATGAGCTCCCCTCCACAATCCCCTGGTGATGACACAAATGCTTCCTAAGGGTAAGTGCAGGGTTCCACAAACATCATCTCCCCAGAATAACTGTTCCCAGTACCTGATTGCTGATGGTGAGGGTGGATGGCTTCCAGCTCAGTATTGCCACAGCAGAGGAGACCACAGACTCCAGATCCAAGATGGGTCACAGAAGGAGCATTGCTCACACAGGTCTGAGCTGCAGGCGTCCAAGGAGACGGTCCGGGAGCTGAGAGTTCCATCTCTGCCTCCTCACGGCGCACTCTGAGGCTGGGCATGGCTGAGACCTACAGAACAGCAAGAACACAGGTAACTAAATGCAGAGGGTCTAGCTCTAGGATTCATCCTCCTATCAGGTAATGGCCTCTTCCTCTACCCCTGCATCCTGAGACCTGAAGAGGAATTGCTGCTGCCAGGTGTCAAGGACTAACACTCTATTCCCCGATCCTGGACCCAAGGGGAGGAAGGGCCAGCCATGGGGACACAGACTCATGAGCCAGGGCCACATGTACGAAGGGGCAAGATGCTGACCCCAAGGCAAAGTGAGTCTACAGTGCCCAGGAGGCCACTCCCTCAAAGGGCCTGGGCCTGCCATGAATAGGAGCTACCCCCACAGGGCCTGCACCTGCTGTGGGGTACTCTCTATTCTTACTTCTTGTTCTTGATACTCAAAATGCACTGAAGATGGGCACACCAAACCTACCTAGAGTGGGAAAGCAGCAGTTCCAAAGGTTAAGTGGCCAGGAACTGTCTATGCTGCAGACACACATGTGGTCATCATGCACCAATGCCTAACAATCCTAGTGGTCAATTCTGTCTGAGCTGTACCCTCCCGGCAGCATCTACAGTAGCTATCCCCATCTCCAATGGCTTGGGATGTCCTCCAACTGCACCAGCTGCTACCTCCTAGCCTCCCATCTCCCTCTTCATATTGGTGCCCCAGGGTTCACTTCTGCACCTATGTTAACTTCCTTGGTAATTCCGTCCAGTCCTGAGGCATCAACATTCCTTATCCTGTAAAGATTTGTAACTTCAGCTCATCTTAAGTCCTAACCTCTCCCTCTGACCAGGACAGAACACTCCCACCTGGAGGCATAATGGGCTCCTCACGTGGACAAAGTTACTGACTCCCCTCACTGCCTCATCTCTGTGTAAATGCACCATATCCGGCCCAGGAGCCCACCCAGGAACACTGACACACCTTAGGTACTCACTCACATTGTACCATTGCTGACTCCTCTGCCCTTCAGGGGTGAAGACATGGCAGAAAATGTTGGCAGAAACCCACAGTGCAGGATACCTGTGGATAAATCTAAGGACTAGATATACATTTTTTCAGTGTTTCCTGAATACCCAATATATGGCAGGGTCTGTTTAGAGGAAAAGTGTGGAACACAGCAGCATCTGTTACCCTCATGGAGCTAACTGGGGAGGAAGATCATCGCAAATTTATCAGTGAGATGAGGCAAGTGCTATGGGCAGAGGCAGCAGGGAAGGGGCAGAGGCCTGGGGAAGGTGGGCATTTAACCAGGGCAGTCAGAGTAACCTCACTGAGAAAATGACCTAAAGGTGAAAGAGGGAAAAAGCCATGCAGACATTGGGAAAAGGGAGTCTCAGGCAGAGACAGAGTGAGTGTATAGGTTGGGGAGAGGAACGGAGGGCAAGTTTCAGGAAGTGTGGCCAGTGTGGATAGGGAAATGAAGGCGCAGGGTCAAGCCCGAGTGGCACCATGTCAGGTCCCACAGGTTGCACAGTGAGGATACAGCCTGCACTCAGTGAAATGGAAGCTCCAGCAGACGTTTAGAAGGCACCTGGAGAAAGGCTTCCCACCAGCCTGAGGGGTGGGGCAGACACTTTCCAGATACTGTGTCCTTAGCCAACAGGTTCTCCTGTTCCATTTTGCCTTGCCTGGGAAGAGGAATGTTTCACTCCACTTTGGATTGAGCTATAAGTTGAGTAGGCTGTCAGGAGGACGCAGCAGTGTGAGGACACTGTGAGGGTGTGGCCAAGGGGTTTTAGAAAGGTGGCTGACATGTACTTCTCTGAAGAAGGGTGGCAAGAAAATGATGCAGAGAGTCAAGGTGATGGTGCCACCCATAGTATGCTTGGGGAAGGACAGGCTGGGTGGGGCTCCTAGAATGAAATCACAATTATGGAGAAAAGCATAACTACTGGTTTGAGAACAACAACAAAGCTTGAGGGCGAAGGCAAGAGGGTATGGACAGAGCCCACAGGGATGGTAAACCCACAGATTATAAGAGGCCTTGGCTGCCTGACAAAGGTGAGGCACTGGTCACAATTTTGTGGCAAGAGGGACAAAAGTAACAAAACATCCCAAGATTAATCTGGTAGGGTGTTGTAGGGGACAGTGAGAGATGAGATTCAAAGCAAGTAGAGCAGAGAAAAATGTCCATCCATGCAGCAGCAGAAACAGTAGGAAACATATGGGATGGGGGCCACAAGACTTTCAGTGACTGCCTCTGCCTGCCCCAAGTACAGATTCCCAGTTCCCATGGGGGATGCCTTCTCTTCTCCACCCAATGGGAGACATAAGCAACTGCTATATTTATTTAGTTCATTTTATTTTAAAATGCTTCAAAATCTCATTCTCATTGTTACTGAAAAGGGGCACAGTCACAAGCTCAAAATTCAAAAAGTAAAGAAGGATTTATGGTGAAAAATCTCCCAGCTAGTCATTCAGTTTCCCTTCCTTTCCTAGTGTACCTCTCCAGGTTATTTTAGGTTTATACAAGAAAATATGCATATATTTACATATATATTAAATATATATATATATATATTTTGCCTTTTTATTAGGAACGGTATCAAACTACCTTGCTTTTACACCTTGTTTTTCTTACCTCGTTATATGTGGAATCTTACCAACAATAACATAGAATTAACACTCCCTCCACCCCATGTCCACATCCTAATCCCAGGAACCTGTGGATATGTTACACCAGACAGCAAAAGGGACTTTGCAGAGGAAATTAAGGTTATAAATGTGCATTACCCTGGTGACCCAATCTAATCACACGAGTTCTTAAAAGTCTGAGAAGGATTTGACAGGGCCATGTGTAAGGACCGCCAGGAGCTAATAGCCACTCAGGCTGGGAGACAGCAAGATAATGAGGACCTCTGTGCACCAACCCCAGGTCTGTCAACAACTTGAATGAGTTTGGAGGCAGATTCTTCTGGCTAATGGCTAAGCCCGATGCTGAGAGGACAGACAACAGGAAGACCCAGCAGCCACCCTCCCACAACAGGCACCACAGGATGGCCCCTGACCCACCTCTCAGTCCCTACTCCCTTAGGGAGAACAGGTCGAAACTATTCCTTGCCCCAAAGTCCAGTATCCATTTAGAGAGTGAATACCACTGATGGAGTCTCCAAGGCACAGCACCTAAGACGAACAGAAACCCCCTTTCCTCCCCAGGTTCTGGGCATCTCTGACGTCACAACGAATTCCTGGAGCCGCTTCTTCCACCCTAACTTCCCACCCACCTAGAAACCACCTGATCGCACATCTGCCCCCGCCGTTCCTCCTGAACTCCGGAGGAGGCATCACTAAGTGGTAACGGCGCCAGCATCCAGAGCAGAGTCCCTGCCCCGCCTGCCGCGGCGCGCTTTACTAGAGGGCACTCCCTTGAGACACCCCAACCCCGGAGGCCACCCGCCAGGCCCCGACCCCTAAGCCAAGCCAGCAGCCCCGCGCCGCCCGTCCGGCGCTCCCACAACCCCCCGCGCGGCTCCGCCCCTGCCTGGGGTCGCAATTCACCGCCCGCCCCCATCCAAGCCCCGAGAGGCCTCGGGCCACCCCCACCGCGGAAGCATCGAGGACACCCAAACGCGCGGTCCGAACCGTGGGGCCTTCGCACAACTAACCTCCTCAAAAGGTCGCGCACGGCAAGGACGCAACTCCGCGGCACGAAAGCATCTCCGTCACGGGCCAGACAGACCCCCTGGAAGTCCCGCCCCGACTTCCGGCCCTTCGGCCCGTTCTGTCTAGGACAGCGTAGCCGCTCTAGACGGCGGGAGGCCGAGGCGACTCTGTGATTCAGCTACAGACCCCGGTCCTGCGAATTAGGAGCCCCTTTTGATCCTGGCAGTCAGAGTGGATCCGTGCGCTGAACCAGGTGGAAACTAAATAAAAGGGAAAGCTAACTATTGGGATGTAAGAAACACTGTCTAGATAACCTTTTTATTTAAAGGACATTAGCTAGAAAATTACAGACTACATACAAAGCAGTGAAAAATAAATACTTCATTCTCAAATATATGAGACCCAGTGTAAAGTCCTTTGCCGTGAAAAATAGCTTTAAATACATAGCTTTAAATATTTCTTTGAAAAGAAAAATATATATAGCTTTAAATATTTCTTTGTCATTGAAGAAGACAAAAGCATTTATCACAAGTTAGGATCAATAGTATTTTTCTTTGCACCAGCAATAACTAACCAGATAATGTAACAACAACAACAAATCTTCCACAGTAGCTACAAAAACTATAAAATATTGGAGAATTAAGATAAAAAAGTGCCGGGCTCAGTGGCTCAGCCTGTAATCCCGTGCCTTGGGAGGCTGAGGTGAGTGGATTGTCTGAGTCCGCGGGTTCGAGACCCGCCTGGGCAACTTGGCAAGCCCTCATCTCTACAGTAAATCAAAAAATCAGCCGGGCATGGTAGCACATGCCTGTAATTCCAGTTACTCAGAAGGCTGAGTCGGAAGGATCGTCGGAGCCCAGCAGGTCGAGGCTGTGGTAGCCGGGAGTGGCCACTGCACTTTAGTCTGGGTGATAAGTGAGACTCCAACTCAAAAAAAAAAAAAAATAGATAACAAAAAGCACTCAAGACCTCTGTGAAATTCTAAGATGATCCAAATCAATGGAGAAATATTTCTTGCTCTTGGATGGGACAAGATGTTTTAAAGATGTAAATTTCCCCCAATTTAACCTACACATGCACTGCAATATGATCATGTAGTGGCCGAATGTTTAATCCGAGAGACCACTAAGAGCCAATTCCTGTGAAAGTTCAAGAGGGTCTTTATTTGCAAGCTCGACCTGGACCTCTGTCGACAACCGACGCAGCGGAGTACACCCAGAGGCCCTGACTTCCTTAAGTAGACACCTTTTATGTTTTGTTTTTTTTTTGAGTTGGAGTCTCACTCTGTTGCCCAGACTGGAGTGCAGTGGC